TTTGGAGTCTTTCACATTCCTCGTTGAGTTTAGTCTTTACCATACTTTGTATATTTTCTTGTTTAAGTAAATTGATGTCGGTTTTTCTTTTGTCAGTCTTTTTTAGCATTTTGAACATTATTTTTAATTTAGCCACTAGTAGGTTGTGATCCGATGGAACATCTGCGCCTGGGTATGTTCTTGTATCCGTTACTGCATTTCTATATCGCTGGTTTATAATAATGTAATCGATTTGATTTCGGACACAATTGTTTTTATTATCTGCGGGTGATTTCCACGTATATAGCCTCCGTAGTGGTAGCTTGAACCAGGTGTTCATGATAGTTGTTTCTCCTGGCAAAATTGTAGTAGTCTGTCACCTCTATCATTGCGATTGCCCAGTCCGTAATTTCCACAAATATGTTCCACTTTTCCACAACCCACTTTGGCATTAAAATCTCCTACGATTAATGTTGCTTCATAACTCTTTGTCATTTTAAGTAATTCTTGGAGATTCTCATAGAACTGCTCTATTTCATCATCCGACTTGTCAGCAGTTGGTGCATAAACTTGGAGTATGTTTATGTTTACAGGCTTACTCTGTAATTTCAAAAGAAGCATTCGATCAGAATAGGGTATGAAATCAATTACTGATTTTTTTATCTGCTCTGTTACTATAAGGCCTACACCATTCCAGTGTCTCTGCTGTTCGTTCCCCGAGTAGTATATTGTGTAGTCATCGATGGATACATTTCCAGAACCAAACCATCTCATCTCACTTATACCTAGTATGTCCACTCCAAGTCTTTTCATTTCACCAATGGTATTTTGAACTTTACCGGGTTCAAACATACTTTGTACGTTCCAAGTGCCTATTCGTACCAAGGATTGGTTATTAATGTATTCCACTTTCGGTGGTTCCTCCTCGCGGGGATTCTTTGCACCCCCTGACCACTTAAGGTCTGCCGCGGACTAGGGGCCGTTAAATTTTTGTTTTGCATAGGTTACTTTACTAGGGAAAATATAGTGCAGTAGTTTCCCGTTGCTTTCTGCACCGCAGTATCACAACCGGTTAAATCATAATTTGATTATCGCCCGTGACTATCCGGTATCAGACCGGTACAGAGATCTTGTCTCTACCGCTCTGATCCTGTAATGACATAGCTGCTGCCCTATGACATGCTCTCAGTTGATCCGCTGGTGTTTATTTGGCAAAGCCTTATTCGCACCTGTCCTACATATCTGTAGGACGTTCCCTATCAGCCATTGGGACGCGCCGTGTCGGGGTTGAGAGCTGCCCCCCTCCGAGTGTGTTTTCCAAGAAGTACTGAGAAGCCCCTACTCAGTTCAGAACCTCTCCTTCTTAGAAACTAACACCGGCACGGTGTATTCTCACCTTGATTAAATTTTAACATTCTTTCGATTATTATATTCTGTAACCCATCATTATTTTGATCACTATTCAAACCCTAAAACTCAAATTCTTGGTCTTGTGATAACAAAAACAATACAATACAATGGTTACGGATCATGCGCGTAGCAGACATTTTTGTTGTCGCACCTGCTTTCGTCTTAGTGTCGCCTTCGTATCGCTTTGACTGTGTTAGCCCATCGAGTACGATACACGTGGCTATAGGATATATGGCAATTATAGTATTCAACTCAAAACTTCGATTTGACCAACTACTTCGAGGTTTTCGATATTAACTCACAACGGATTTTAGGACAACGGAATAACGGGATCCCATGGGCGTGCTTTATCATTATCTAGTAACTTATTTATTTTGATAAACATTTGGCACTAGACTATATGTAGGCAATATGCAAATCAGCTAAGGCGCACAAAAAAGTGATATGCGGTTAAAAGCGATAAAAACAATTGTTGAGGAAGGGTCATTCATAAAGCTATAGGTTTTTTCGAGTTTTGACTATTTAAGAAAAAAAAAAAGACAAGTGGTATAACAAAATTGAAGGGTTGAGCCAATAAAGTGGGAAAATGTTAGAAAAACACGATTTTTCGCAATTTGAGAATTTGTAACATAAAAATGATTATTTTAACAATGATTAATTCATAGCCCGTAAGAAAATAGATGGAAAAGCATCTAACTGGAAAATAGATGGAATTTTATTTTTATGAAAGAGAAATGGGGACTTTTACAATAGATTTTGATAATGTAGAAGAAAAAGTGTTAAAAAATGTTGAATTACCAACTGAGTTTTGAGGTTATATGCAAATAAATGAGTAAAAAACAGTTTATTTTTTATTTTTCGATGCTTCCGCAAAAGAACGAAAAAACATACATAAAAAATTACTATTTAAAAGTTAGCCAAAAATTATTAACATAGCCTAAAAAATTATTGAAAATTTCAATGATTTTTTCTGAGCTCAATTTTTAATATAAAAATTTGAAAACAATCGGGCTATTTTGTATTCGAAAGATACATCTTCGTGAAGTTTTTCAGATTTTTTAAAGCAAAATTATTGGATCTGGAAAGCTAAAAATTTGTATGAAGTCATGTTTTTATATGCTTTATTGAAAGCACAAGTCGCGGTGCTGATCGGTGCGTTGGCATTTTTGACCATCTTATCCCGCTATAGCCTTTCCTTTTTTTAGCTTATCTAATATGAAATTTTCAGTAAAGTAAAATGCACAAGGGATAAAATCGTGGTTGAACTTCGCATTGAATGTCTATAAGCTCAAGATGAAAGCTATTATTCATACGTAGGTTTTGTCTACTAAAAATGGATTTTATGGCATTATAACGGCTCTACTGAGCTTTGTCAGTATATATCACCTGCAGTACAACTGATCTAGTTAAAATAAAAGAAGGTAGCACTGGGCGAGTACCGACAGAACTGAAAACTTCTTAAATTGCGTTGAAATTATAGGTATTAATTTGACATAAATAAAATTAATAATTTTTTGTGAATATTAAGTACATGTAAATATTTATTCTTATGTTTCTTAATGAAATCATATAGATTTAATAATATCAGTCTTCTTATATTGAAAACGTGCATTTTTGAATCAGGTATTGCGCCATCATATATATTTTACATTACTATTAGTTTATACTTCACAAAATTAACTTATCCATAATTTCAACAACTCTCACCATCATCATTGCCAGCATCATCATCGCTAATTTCTAAAACTGATACAAACAACAGTTCTAAAGTCTTTGTGATACGTGGTATACAGCCAGCTACAGGAATTGTTTTCCTTGTGGATTTAGTTCTAAAGTATTCGAATCTATTTAAATGTTTTGTAAATACCCATGTAGTTTTATATTTCGTTGCGTTGAGATTGCCATCATTTGCCATTGTTAAACCAAATTCATTATTTAAAAATACAATTAATGTTATATTTTTATCGCCTGCAAAGTTTTTGTTGAAATCTCCACTCATTGGTGCCATTTTCATTTGCTATGTCGCATGTGAGGATTCAGTGAGTTATTTTGTACTCAGCCAGAGGCCTTAAATAAATAAAAAATTGTCTTATAGTAAATCTATTTTCATCCATAGTGCCCTATGATATCTCGTATGTAACTATCATCATCATCATCAGTAGCTCGACAACACTTACCAGGTCCTGGCTTGTTCTAGAATTTTCCGCCATTCTGTTTTGTTCCTTGCTTCGTTTTTCCAGTTGGTAATCTTAAGTGTTTTCAGATCTTGTTCCATGTATCTAAGTTTGGGTCTTCCCTTTGACCTTCTCCCTACTGGTGTTTGCCTCATTATATGTTTTGGTGTTTCAGTCGCCAACATCCGTTCAACATGGCCCATCCAGCGCAGACGTCCGATCTTTATGCATGTTATGACCTCGGGTTCATTGTATGCTGTGTATAGTCAATATTATATCTTCTGTGCCATATGTAATTTTCTTTCACCCCCTTCCTTATATATGTGTCTAAGGATTTTTCGTTCAAATGTACCTAATTGGTTTTCATCGCTTTTCGACAGTGTCCATGTCTCTGATCGATATACAAGGACCGGTTTTATCAGGGTTATGTATATTTTGCATTTGGTTTTTCTTGTGATGTTGTTATATCTTAGATGTTTAATTAGTCCATTATACATTTTATTATCGATATGTATTCCTTTAACTTCTTCACTGTCATCTGCGGTAACTAGTTAACCTAGATATGTAAAAATTTTCACGCTTTCGATGTTTTAGTCCCTATTGTCAGATTCTGTAGGTTTATTTAGCCTGTCAATTTGCTGGCCTTCATGTATTTGGTTTTTATTTCGTTAATGTTTAGGTCACTGTTTTGTGCCGCTCTTTCTCTCGCATTAAATGCTTCTATCATCTCTCTTTTGCTTCTTGCTATGATATCAACATCATCTGGAAATGCCAATATTTGTACACTTTTTGATATTATTGACTGGTGTTAACTTTTGACTGTAATTATTTTCTCTAGGGTGATGTTGAATAGAATACAGGATCTCTCTGTCATAGGTCATACATCTCTCTGTCATAGGCCCGTTCTCCTCACATGAATTGTATCTGTTGGTGCGTTTTGAATTCAAATTTTGCTTTGTACTTTCAAGTGTTTCTTTTACTATATCAATGGGTTTATTATATCAAAATCAATGAAAAGGTCTATATTAAATTCACTAGTCTTTTCCAAGATTTGCCTCCAGACGAAGATCTGATCTATTGTGGACTTCTGCCTGCAGAAACCACATTGATATTTCGCAACAATTTGTTTCGCATATGGTCTCAATCGGTCATACATAATATTTGGCAGTATTTTGTACGTATGCCGTATTAACGTATGTAACTATACATTCATTAATAATCAAGATACTGTGTAGTGCCCTTTTGGTCGTCGCCTTGTTTATTTTTTCTATCTTAAAGCATTATTCCCTCTCCTTTCATTTAACGCATCACACGCTCCAATAACAAGTATTCAATGCTTTTTTCCCATCCAGAAAGTGCACAACGACAAACTAAAGTTTTCACTTCAAAAACAATAATTGTTATTCTGTACTAAAGCGTTTTATTATTTTGTTTTAGGTTGATGAAAGAAACGATGCCCGCCAAGCTCCTAAGGTAGATGACGAACGTGATTTCCCCTCTCTTGGCTAATGGTTAGCCCCCAGACAGTCGTTCACTAAGTATTATCAGCTATTTTAGTGGATTACTACAATGGGGCGACTATCATCACAATAAAACTGTATATTACAATTTAACTACTTTGTTATGTCGGTACACAATCTGTATTCCGACATAAACAGGTCTTTAGAATTTCTTAGCAAGTTTTTCAAATATTCTATAGGAGTTTCTTTCGGAAAATATCTCATTTTGAGCTATTGCAACACGTGGACTGCCGCGCCTTTGACGCCATAATATATACAAAAGTACAGCAGACACCGTTTTTAATGCGGTATTTTTTTGAGGAATAAACTATATTCAGTGTAGACTGGAACACTCTGAAAGGTGGTGACTACTAGTCAGTGTTATGCTGTATTGTTAAACAGATTCATATTGTCGCTGATGCTCATGTTAACATTTGTTCATGATGCCATTTTTCAATTTGCATTTTTTATTACGAAGTTTTAAATATTAAGTTATAGGTTTAAAAAAATCGACAGGAAAAATTTGGACATGGATGATAGTAACGCCAGTCTCGATATATTATCATAATATAATTAATTTATCATATTGTAAATGTAATTTTTGGGTTGCTTTGTCGCTTTTCTATATCCTTAAATATAGCATCAGCTGTATCCACATATACAATATTCTCAAACATGTTGTCAATGTATTGCTGTCATTAACTCAGTGAGAGGAAGAGTACTCATTATCTCAGTTCAGATAGGCTTAGACCATTTCGCTCAAGGGGATATTTATGTAACAATCGAACAAAAACTTTAAAGTTATTCATTTTACAGCTACGGATGGATATACGAGACTTAATACAAAAATAGAATATACCGGATATTCTAAAACACTCAAGATTAAAGGCAGACACAACTTTTTCCAAAGCATTTAAACGAATCGGGCCTAAGTGGATGTGATATCTGTAGGTTTGAGTCAATGTTTCTGACTTACGAAATGCTTCAGTTGAAACTGTTGTATCTATCTTCCCCTTTTCCAACTTTTTTATAATCCCCATCCTGTTTGCTTGCATTGATCTGGTTTTGGCCATATTTAACAAAAAGAACAAAATGCATTACAAGGAAATAATTACTAAAATAAAATATCAAACAGTTGCAAAAGTACGAGAGTATTGAAAAGCGACAACGTTCGTATCGATAATAGTTTATTTTTTGTTAAAAGCTTTTTTAATTATAGAGACATGTAATTAATTGTATTTTATAGCTATTCGCTGATGTTGCGGGTATTATGAATCACTCGTATTGCCAGTGACATGAGTGTTTTGAAAGATAACACAAAATGGACTCCGATCTGTGAAATGAACAATTTCTGTCCATATGGTTGACATATGTTTGCTTTCGCAGAAACTGGAAAGGTGTGTTCCGGCAGGCGCATCTGTTCATTTTTACTGAAGTTGTCTGCCAAACTAAGACCTGAAATAATTTTGCTTTTCCATTTAACAGTTTTCTATCAGTGTTAGATGTCAATACATTTACAATTTGGGACATACTCGTATCATATTTTTTTACTACGACTGAATAGTTTTGTATTCATCTAAATGTGTCGAGAACACTAGTAACACTACGGGATTTTCATGTGTGGTAATTTTAAGTTACAATTGATTATATATTGTTGTAAAAACCTTCAAACAACATTTTCGAGTAGTTAAACGTGTATGATACACAAATTTCTTCAATAAAATGTTTTGTTGTAACAAACCGTGTTTTATTTTAGAATACAGGATAAGACAATAATATAAAGTGAGCCTAAATAATATAAATTCACCTATAGTGGCCTCTGTATATTTGCTTATACATATTTCATCTTATTAGAAATAATCAAAAATTGCTGGTGTCTTCAAGAAAAAACAAGTCACTGGTATACATAATGACCAAAATGAATTAATAACGGACCCTAGCGATATACTTAATACTTGGAAAATGTACACAGCCAATTTGTTCAATGATGACAGAATACAAAAACCACCACAACTGGGAGACCATTTGTATGGCCCAAGTATTTTGAAAGCTGAAATTACACTCTATCAAACTATTAAAAAGTAACAAAACCCCAGGACCAGATGATATGTACGCAGAAACAATCAAGTTACTTAATGAAGAAAACCTAGACATTATTGTTAAGCTCTTTAACGACATCTACGATACGGGCCAGATTCCAAAAGATTGGCTTCGATCTACATTTATCGCCCTACCAAAAACACCACGTGCGAACTTCTGCAAGGACCACCGACTAATAAGCCTAAAGAGTCACTTTTTAAAACTTTTCCTGAGAATACTTCACACTAGATTGTTTAAGAAATGTGAAGAGGTCAGTGGATGGAGTCAGTTTGGTTTCAAAAATGGACTTGGCACCAGAGAAGCGATCTTTAGTATGCAAACATTGATACAGAATTGTTTAGATCAAAGAAAGGATGTTTTTATCTGTTTCATCGATTACGAGAAAGCATTCGATAATGTAAAACACGAATTGATGATAAAATACCTACAAGAGCTGGGATTGGATGCAAAGGATATAAGAATCATCGCCAATTTGTATTGGAAGCAGACAGCAACAGTACGTCTTCAAACTTCCAACGAAACAGAAGATTTCTCCATTAAAAAAGGAGTAAGGCGAGGTTGTATACTGTCCCCAATGCTGTTCAATTTATACGTAGAAAAAGCCTTCGCAGAAGCAGTGGAAGACTCTAATAAGGGTATTAAAGTTAACGGCATATTTATTAATAACATCAGGTATGCCGATGATACAGCCATAGTGGCAGATAACATCGAAGATCTTCAATGCCTTTTAAATGATCTAACTCTTGCAAGTGAAGCTCGGGGTTTGAAAATAAATATCAAGAAGACAAAATCAATGATTATAAGTAGAAATGATTACCCCAACGCAAAGATATATGTCTCTGGAGAAGAAATCGAACAAGTCAGGCAATTCAAATACTTGGGATGTTTGCTGAATGAGGGTTGGGACCCCGAGAATGAAATAAAAAGCAGAGTTGAACAAGCCAGAAATGCTTTTTTGAGGCTTCGTAAGTTTCTGACTGATCGCAAATTGGAATTCAACCTCCGATACAAGATGCTTAAGTGTTACGTGTGGCCTGTTCTCCTGTACGGAATGGAAGCATGGACGTTAAAGGCCAGTTCCATTAACAAACTTGAAGTGTTTGAAATGTGGTGCCTCCGTCGAATGCTCAGAATATCATGGACGGACAGGGTCAGAAATGAGGAAGTACTCAGAAGAGCGGGCTTACAGGATAGGGAACTTTTTAATTATGTAAAAAGTAAGAAGACTGCATACTTGGGGCACATTATACGAGGAGAACGATACACTTTTCAGCAACTGATACTCGAAGGGAAGATAGAGGGTAGGAGAGGTCTCGGACGTAAAAAAATGTCATGGCTGCGCAATATTCGACAATGGACAGGAATCCACAGCTATGAAATGCTTCGCAATGCTGCTAAAATCAGAATTATTTAATCCAGATCCAGATATTTAACATCTCACCTGACAAGACGATGTACGGTGGACGCCTACGCAGAAATGCACGGCACCTTAAGAAGAAGAAGAAATAATCACAGAAGCTCTGAACGTGAAAACAAATATTTTCCGTCGCAAAAAAAATCAATAAAATGGATTCAGTATGGACGTTATAGCGACATATGATGATAAATCGTGAAAGTAGAAATCCGGACGAAACCAAAATTCAGATTTTTTGCTTTAATCTATGCCTTACAAGAATTGCAAGGCAAAACAGACGATGCTAAAAAGATGTAATAAAAATGTGTGAAAAAGGCTTGATAAAGTAAAAACGTAGGTATCGAGCGTATATCTCATAAAAAGAAGTAAAAAAAATACCAGGTTCATCAAAAATACGACGTCGTTATAGACAGTAGGTGCGAAAAATAACACCCTGATATTTCTTTAATTTTTGACGTGTAGATGAAACTTGTAGCCAATATATCGCACACCTATATTAAAAGTGTAGTAACTCTAAAAACCACTTTTTCGACAAATTGAAAAAATCTAATCTACTCGATATAATAAAAGATTTAAAAGCTTTTTAAATCATATTGGAAGCACATTGGTTTACGAAGTATTTTGGTATCACATTAGTATTAATCTTGCATTTTTTATAGAAAAAAGTGATGTTTTGACTTATTACACTTTCGAAATTTTTTTGAATTAATTCACTTTTATTGCAATAATTAAGATGCAACGCTTTTATTCTAAATTTGTCAATGTGAATCATAACATAAAATTAGTTTTTTAGTGAAATAGACAAGAAACTTTCAGAAAAAGTAATTATTAATCATATTTTAATTTTAAAATTATTTTATTTATTTTAAACAAAGTATATTATACAAAAAATATTCAAAAGCAGTCATTACTTTTACATAATGTTGACAAAAACATAAAAACTATCCATAATTGGAAAAAAGTAAACTGAGATACAACAGAATATTGACAATAACATAAATACTATTCGCAATGTAAAAAAAATAAACTGCCATCTATACATTAATTAAGGCCTAATCTAATACATTTTTCTAATAACTATTATAATAGGTTTTCGAAATTATATTTTTTTCAATAAGTTCGTTAATATAATTTTTTTTAGCATCAGGTAATGGAATTTTTTTTATTATACATAAGTTTTAAACCTTCTGAAAATAATTCTTTATTTGCTTTAGCTTTCCTTTTCTGTACTTCCGTTTTCTTGAAGTCTACATCAGAGTAGCTCGTTTTATAGAAAAAGACTCCAGGACTTTCTTTTTCAACGCAAATAATTTTATGTCATGCCACTTAACTTAGTTTTTATCTTCATTCATAGTGAAATTTGTTCCCCACTCTTCCTGCAAAGCCTTGATATCAAAAAAATATGTCATGTGTCATCTCCACGACGGTATAAGGCGGACCAGTTTTTTTTGCAGTACGAATCAGTGTGGAATACTGTTGCGGAGTGTAAATGGGGCCCGACTTAACATGTGTTTAATTTGTTTTTCTATTACACTGTGAACATTATCTGCCCTCGAATCAAAACTTGTATGTAATAGATTTAATTCCCATGTAAAAAAACAGCATATGCATAATCACTCAATAAATATTTATTCTTTTGCTGGCCGCAGCAATTACCCGAGTAAAAAATGATATCTAAATTTTTATTTTTCATTATGATTATCAACTATTAAATTTTGTATATAAGCAAGTACACAGCTTCCAATTTCTGTTGCACCACGTTTACCTTCTGTTTTATCCCAAAAATAACATGTAACATGTCTCGCTTTTAAATCACTCACCGTAAAGTTGAAACAGTTTATTCTGGATTTATAAAAGAATAATGACACTTGGCCTTTAGGAACAGGCATCACTGCTTGTAAATCGTATACAGCTACTTTAACATCAGTCCTATTTTTGTCGTTTTCTTCCTCTATTCTTGCCAATTGTTTTTCTCGTAAATGATTTTCATAATTTTCAAGTAACTTTTGTTTATCGTTTACATCAACATTTTTATAACTTTCACACAAATCAGAGATCTTTCTTAGGAATATAAAAAGATATGTTAAATTCTGTGTGAAAGATACGATTAAAAGTTGTTTGGGAGGCAAGGACAAGTTATCTTTTTCACGAGTAAATTTAGAGTCTCTATACAAATCTTTTCAGCAACTGATACTCGAAGGGAAGATAGAGGGTAGGAGAGGTCTCGGACGTAAAAAAATGTCATGGCTGCGCAATATTCTACAATGGACAGGAATCCACAGCTATGAAATGCTTCGCAATGCTGCTAAAAACAGAATTATTTAATCCAGATCCAGATATTTAACATCTCACCTGACAAGACGATGTACGGTGGACGCCTACGCAGAAATGCACGGCACCTTAAGAAGAAGAAGAAATAATCACAGAAGCTCTGAACATGAAAACAAATATTTTCCGTCGCAAAAAAAAATCAATAAAATGGATTCAGTATGGACGTTATAGCGACATATGATGATAAATCGTGAAAGTAGAAATCCGGACGAAACCAAAATTCAGATTTTTTGCTTTAATCTATGCCTTATAAGAATTGCAAGGCAAAACAGACGATGCTAAAAAGATGTAATAAAAATGTGTGAAAAAGGCTTGATAAAGTAAAAACGTAGGTATCGAGCGTATATCTCATAAAAAGAAGTAAAAAAAATACCAGGTTCATCAAAAATACGACGTCGTTATAGACAGTAGGTGCGAAAAATAACACCCTGATATTTCTTTAATTTTTGACGTGTAGATGAAACTTGTAGCCAATATATCGCACACCTATATTAACTCGTTCACTGCTCAGGACTCGGATCCGAGTCAGCTATGTTTATCTCTATGCTCATGACTCGGATCCGAGTCGACAGGAATCCCAAATTAAAACGCGTCAGTAATCTTTTAGTACTTGAGTACGACTGTTGTATTCTGATGAGCGTATTTGTATACCTTTCTATAATTGAAAAGTGCTTTTCGTTTTTAAATCGTAATTTAAAGTGTGCGAATATAGATCAACTACAACCGGGCCCTTCGGGAATTAAAAAACCTAAATTACAAAGTGCAAAATTCACACAAGACGAATCATTTAAAATTCTAAATTATTTATTTAGTGATCACGACATAGACATTAGCGACGAAGAGTCTTAGCCATCTGAAAATGACTATTCTGGTAAGCTATGAGTGAGCGATTAC